AAAATGGAAAGAGTACCTACCTGAATATACATTTTTCCAAAGAAGACAAACAGATGGCCAATAGGTACATGAAACAGACCTCAACATTACTAATCAGCAGAAATATGCAAATCAAACCACCATGAGATATCACTTTATACCTTTCAGAATGGCTCTAATCAAAATGACAAGAAATAAGTGTTTTTGAGGATGTGGAAATAAAGGAACCTTCAGGCACTCTTGGTGGGACTGTAAGTTGGTAGAACCACTGTAGAAAACCATATGGATGCTTCTCAGAAAATTAAAAATAAAAATACTATATGATCCAGTAATTCCACTACTGGGTATTTACCCAAAGAAAATGAAAACACTAACCTGAAAAGATAGATGTACCCTGTGTATTGCACTATTATTTATAATAGCCAAGATCTGGAAACAACCCAAGTGTCCATCAGCAGATGAATGGATATATGTGTATATACATATACACATACACACACACCCTCAACCATAAAAAAGAGTAAGATCTTGCCATTAAGACAGCGTGGATGAACCTAGAGGATATGCTAAGTGAAATAAGTCAGACATAGATAAATACATGGGATCTAAAAAAAACCAAAAAGCAGAAACAGACCCATAATAATAGAGAAAAACTGAGGGTGGGATGTGGGTGGGGGATGGGCAAATGAGTGAAGGGAGAGTGGAAGATAAAGGCTTCCAGTTACAGAATGAAAAAGTCATGGAGATGAACCATGAGAGACGATGGACTCTGAAAAACAAACGGGGTTCTAGAGGGGAGGGGGGTGGGAGGATGGGTTAGCCTGGTGGTGGGTATTGAGGAGGGCACATTCTGCATGGAGCATGTTATGCACAAACAATGAATCATGGAACACTTCATCTAAAACTAATGATGTAATGTATGGGGATTAACATAAGAATAAAAAAAAAAGTCATGGGATGATATATATATATTTTTTTAACATATAATGTATTATTTGTTTCAGAGGTACAGTACAGGTCTTCAGGAGGGGAAGAATGAAGGGGGGAAATCGGAGGGGGAGACGAACCATGAGAGACGATGGACTCTGAAAAACAAACTGAGTGTTCTAGAGGGATGGGTTAGCCTGGTGGTGGGTATTAAAGAGGGCACGTTCTGCATGGAGCACTGGGTGTTATACGCAAACAATGAATCATGGAACACAATGTAATGTATCGTGATTAACATAATAAAAAAAAAGAAATCATGGGATGAAAGGTACAGGGAATCTAGTCAATGGTATTGTAATAGCGTTGTATGGTGACAGATGATAGCTATGCTTGTGGTGAGCATAACGTAAGATACAGACTTGTGGAATGTAACATTGTGTGTCAACTATACTTCAATTAAAAACCCACTGAGATATTTGTGCAAGTACAGAGACCAGTGAAATAAAGAGCCCAGAAACATTCTATATATACACTATCACATTTACAAAATATTAATGTCTTCCCCACCAGAATGGCTAAAATGCAAAGACAGACAATATCATGCATTGAGGATGGGGCAAGCTCTACTGTTATGGACTGCTGGTGAGAAGATAAGTTGTTACAACTCCCTAGGAAAACTGGAAATAGCTACTGTAGGGGAGCAGATTTTTCTACCATAAGCTATGCGTCTTTAGGATATGGAGAAAGGGGAACCATCTTGCACTGGTGGGTTGGTAGGAATGCAAACTGGTATAGCCGCTCTGGAAAACAGGATGGAGGTTCCTTAAAAAATTGAAAATAGAACTACCCTATGACCCAGCAATCACACTACTAGATATTTACCCAAAGAATACAAAAATACTTCTTTGAAGGGGTACGTTCGCCCCAATGTTTCTAGTGGCTTTATCAACAACTGCCAAATTATGGAAAGAGCCCAAATGTCCATCGACTGATGAATGGATAAAGAAAAAGTGGTATATATATATACAATGGAATATTACTCAGCCTTAAAAAAGAATGAAATCTAATATTACACCACTGTATGTTAACTGGAATTTAAATAAAAACAAGAATATATAAATTTGATTAAAAAAGATATGCCTCTTTGGCATATTGATTATTCTAAGCTGGTATTTTTTAAGAAACTGTAGACACAAGAATATCTCTGAAATCCCAGTTTCCCTCCCTTAAGAGACATTTCCATGTATAAGGGAAATCTCCATTTGTAAGGGTGTCTCCCTCAGTATCAGGAAGAGGGGGATGACTCTTAGATGCCTAGAAACTGTTATCAGTGGAGAAGGCATGAACTTAAATCTGCATGACAACTTTAGCCTTTTTTACTATGCTTTTTATGGTAACCTCCCATAAATGATCCTCTACCTACATCTTCTCTTGTCTTCAGATGGAGATGGTATTTAAGGTGATGGCTTCAGCTATTTTGGTGAGATACTCAGTTTTCTTGGGTCTCTCCCATGTGTACAGGAGGTATATATATTATTAAACCTTGTTTCATTTTCTATTAATCAGTCTTTTTTTTTCCTTGGGTTTTTTTAAATTTAAATACAAATAGCCAACATTCTCTATTAATCAGTCTTGTGTAAATCTGGTTTTTAGTTCGGGTGGAAAAACCTTGAAGGACAGAGGAAAACTTTTTTCCTCTCCACACTACTAAAGCTGAATATATGAATATATCCTATGTCCCAGCAAATCCACTTTTAAGCACATACCCAGAAGATCTGTGTATACATCTGTTAAAAGACAAACACAAGTATATTCATAGCAGCACTATTCACAATAAGCCCCAGACTTGAAAGAACTCAAACATCTGGCATAGAATAAATAAAATTGTATATATTCATCTACTGGAATACTGTTATATAATAAAAAGGAAAGAATTACTTATATACAACAATATAAAAGAATCTCATAAAGTTAAGTGAAAGGAGCCAAAAACAAAAGAATAATATAGATTCCACTTATTTAAAATTTGAAAGAAAGGTAAAGCTAATCTATAGTATTATAAGTAAAGATAGTTCAGCTGGGATGCAGTATCTTAAAGTGGATATGAGAGGGCTTGTGTGGTCTTGGTAATGTATGTTACTTGGTCTGGATGATGGTTACAAGAATGTGTTTACTTTGTGAAAATCTACTGAGTTACATTTATGATTTGTGTGCTTTTCTGTATGTATGTTATACTTTAATAAAAAATTTAAATAAAAAACTTTCAAACTGTTCAGATTATTATCATTGAACTTATCCTTCGGCAACTCTTGCTTTTAGTTATGTTGATGGCTACCACATGTGATAATTTTTACAGACTCTTCCATGTAGACTGAAATACTCCAACTTATTTATTTTTTTTTAAAGATCTTATTTCTTTCTTTGACGGAGAGAGAGAGAGCACAGCAGGGGGAGTGGCAGGCAGAGGGAGAGGGAGAAGCAGACTTTCCACAGAGCAGGGAGCCCGATGCGGCACTCGATCCCAGGACCCTGGGATCATGACCTGAGCTGAAGGCAGATGCTTAACTGACGGAGCCACCCAGGCGCCCTTGAAATACTTCAACTTGAATGCTCTTGTTATGTTACATAATTTACCTTCTTGCTTGCATCAAGCAACACTTTTGAAAGCCAAAAACTTAATTATTTTCTGCTTTCAGAAATGTCTGAGAGAGCAGAGTTGAACTAAATTGAAGGAACTTGAGAGAAAATTAGCTTTCCCCAGCATGATGTGGGCTATATGGAAGAACTAGACAGAAACTACGATTAAAAAACTAGAGATTCTTTCCTAATTCCTTTTCTAATTTTGAGTGGGAGTCACCCCAGTTTTCTAGAATAAAAGTGGAGTAGAACATTCATCTGAATGTTCACCTCTTGATAGTTACTGTTGTTACTGAATGGTATCTTTGTCAAGGGAGTAATCAAGGTCAGAGAGTAAAGCCCTGAAAAAAAAAGGCTGAAAAGCAGGGAGATACAGGGTTTCAGTGAAGAAAGATATTTGCTAGAAATGAGGCAGGGCTCAAAAAGACTCTGGCTAGGAAGTACCAGCTGGCTACAGGAATCTAATCAAAGCATTCACAGGGCACAGAAAGCATACTGGCGAATAGTGGAGTTTCTTCCTTTTTCTGAAATTTTGTGATAATTTCTTCACATTCCTTTTCACCCTTAGTAACTTTAAATAGCTTTAAAATGCAAAACCTCCATCCTTAAAGAGAAGCTGGCAATTGCTCCTTCTGGCTGCAAACAGCATTATAAAAACAAAGATGATCAATCACTGGAGAGGCTTGTTATAATAATTTGAAGCAAACTTACAAAGTAGAAATCTACTAAAACTTCCTTTCTCAGGAGTTCCACAAAGAAATGAATTCTTTTGCAATTCTGAGGGCCCTTTGCCTAATCTAGGAATAGTAAATACCAGGAAGAATAGGAATTGGGATGTCCAGAGATCAATAATTCCAGATTTAGTCACATTAGATTAAGTTTAGGGAAAAGGAAGCTCATGTTGATATTATAATAGTTTTTAAAACTATCATTTTTATATATTGTAAAGTTTTGTATGGACCTTTAGATTAAATAGGTTTCTGATTGGTCTTCTTTGGAAGACTACACTGTAAAACGACTAGTGGCTTCTAAAAGAAAACAAGTCACCCATCAAACCTAAAAGCCCATGTGAAATACTTTGATATAGGACAGAATTCTTTTGAGATATGACATGTCTATGTGTATAAATAATTATATAAGTTTCTGTGTTGGCTAATATTAATAACAGCACTTATGATAATAAACTACCTCAAAAATCTTATGAAAACAGTGTCTTTTTGACTTTTTGCTAAATGGTGATTAATCAGTGATTATTAATTTTTATATCAACACTGTTCCCACTTATATATCCATATTGTACTATTTACCCAGGCTTAATTCTTTTTTAAAAGTCACTTTCTTTACAAAGAAAGTAATTCAAATTAACCAACCGGGCCTTACAAACATAAATATACATGATACTGAGTAAGTATTGACTGAAACAAAAAGCACTTAAAAAAACCAGCATTAATTCTTACCAACTCCAGAGGTTATTGATTCTGCATCAATGTCACTAGCTCTTTTTCTTGCCACTTCAGCTAGTGCCAATTCACCCTTATCTAGTGCAAAGTAATGGATGTCCTTTGGAAAAAAAACAAAATAAAAGATTAATCCAAATGAATCTTGGTCAAGTTACAAAGATTTTGAGCAAAAGAGCTTACTGTTCAGATTACAAAACAGACATGGCTGATGAATATTTTTTGTTTTAATTCAGTTTTCTTTTCTAGTATAAGCAAATTTTCTTGAATTGTAGATTATAACTATTACCTAATAGCATTATTTAAATAAGTTATTTTAATTCTTCAGGGAAAAAGACAAGTTTTTAAACCAAATGTTCGACATACTCAGTTTTGTCAGGAAATAAAAACATTTATTGCTATGTTCTTTGGGGAGATTTTAATATCTGAGATGACTTCTTCAAAATTCAATTGTATATAATATTATGATAAGCATTTTACAAGAAATACAACTACACAAATTTGTCTCTGACATTTATGTGTCTGGCACATACTACTTTGTTAACATTATTAATATTACTATTATCTTGAACTCATACAGTCAGCAAATAATCAGTGCCTACTAAGTGTTAGGCATTGTTCTGGAATATAGAGATCAATTACAATTCCATGTCTCAAGAAGCTGTGAGCCCAGTGGGGAGACAGATCATTGTGAACAGTTAATTACATAATGTGTGATAGGTTTTATAACAGATATTTGCACAAATATTTGCTGTGGAGCTGAAGAGAAGGAACTGATCCTTGCTCTGAGTCTTGAAGGACAAATAAGAGTTATGCTAGGAGGGAAAATAGAGAAAAAGCGACAGAATTAGTATCTGGTGCATATATATACATACAGAAGATTGAAAAAAGTTGTGTTAGGCAATGGTATATCTTTGAATATGGAAGGAGTCTTACTTAGATTGGATGTGTGGGAGAAAGCAGTGTAAAATAATACTAAAGTAGGTATAGCCACTAAAAAGGATTTTGAACTATTTTTGGTGTGCAAAAGATTGCTGGAATATTATTGCAATAAAAATGGAAAAAGATGGGCCACCTGGGTGGCTCAGTCAGTTAAGTGTCTGACTCTTGATTTTGGCTCAGGTCATGATCTCAGGGTCATGAGAGTGAGCCCTACATTGGGCTCCCTGCTCAGTAGGGAATCTGCTTGAGATCTCTCTTTCCCTCTCCCTCTCTCTCTAGAATAAAGAAATAAACCTTTTAAGAAATGGAAAAAGAACATAAACAACCAGTTTACAATGAAGAAATATAAATGGCCTATACTCATGAAAGATATTTCACTTTATTAATATTCAAATAAGTGCAATTGAAAAAATATAATTTCAAATTGTTTAAGTTTTTAAAAGTTCAGAATATTTACTGGCTGCAGAGACTTCCAGGGAAGATGGCAGAGTAGGAGGATCATTAGCTCACCTCATCCCATAAATACCACTAGATAACACCCACATCAGTGTAAATAACCCAGAAAATGACCCAAAGACTGACAGACCAGACTCTCTACAGGTAAATGCAGAGAAGCCACGTCAAAGAGGGCAGGAAAAGTGGAGATGCTGTCAGGAGCCAAATGGACCCACAGGACTGTCCCCAAGAAGGAGGGACACTGCAGATGTGGAGAGGAGAAAGAAGCAGACCCCCACATCAGGCACACCAGGCATCCGAGGCACGGGGGACACACTGGGAAGACAAATCCTCATAACATTTGGCTTTGAAAACCAGAAGGGCCTAACTTCATGAGTTCTTACAGTCAATGGGGTATTACACCTAGAACTTTAAAAATCAGTGGGCTTGGTTCTGGGAGAGCAGGGAGAACAACAGGAAACTGACTTCCTGCCCTTAATCTTTTTGACTACAAACAGCCCCACTGAAATACAGCATAGAAGCAGCAGTTTGAAAACTGCCCGAGGTATATGGGATTTATTTACTAATCTCAGAGCATGTGCTGGAGAGGCAGGGATCTTTGGGAGACTTCTCCAAGAACAAAATGCTGCTCGGCACCATTTCACTCCCTTGTCCAACCCCCACCCCCAGCCTAAATATAGGATACCTGCAGGAAACAGCACAGTACTAATATGTTCCACCTAGCTTACTTACAGTGCACCCTGCCCTGGTATGCTTCTGCAGATCTGCATCCCCACCCCCGCCAGTCTTGACAAGTTTTCCCAGGTGGCTGTAGGTCCTCTCCTTTAGTAGACTGGTGAAGACCATCCTGGCACCACATGCCCCACCCCTACATTCTACAGCAGACTTCCTTCCTCCAGTATGTCCTTGGCAGGATCCCATACAAAGTGGTACCACAAGCCTGGCAGTGTGCAAGCAGCCCTGACAGGGGTGAGCACCACTCCAAAGTAGAGGGTAAGATAACCCTACACTCCAACTGTGGCTCCAGAAGTGGGCTGGGAGCAGACATCAAGTCTGACTACAGGCTCCACCCACCAACAAAAACTCAGGGGCTAACACAGGGAAAGCACCTTGCAATTTGATGCTACTGCATCTCTGGTAAATGCCTGGCTTGACTGAGCTCAAACCCAACATGGCCCCAGAATGGCCCATTTTCAACACAGTGATCAAACTCTGCACACAAAAGACAAAGAGAGTCATCGTATATGACAGAACTAAAGGTAAATGCAGCTTAGCCACACAGAACTGAACGTGCAACACACACAGGAGACACCCCTGAAGCTCCAGGTTCTGTGAACTGGGGACATTGCACTGCAAGGCACTACATGACCTCCTCTTCATAAGGTCACTACTTCCTTTTTTTCTTTTCTTTTTTTAAGATTTATTTATTTACTTTAAGAGAAACAGAGAGCGTTGGGGGGAGGGGCAAAGGGGAGGGAGAGAGAGAAGCCCCAGCAGACTCCCTGGTGAGCACAGAGCCCTATGTGGGGCTCAGTCCCACAATCCTGAGATCACAACCTGAGCTGAAATCAAGAGTTGGGTGCTTAACTGACTGAGCCACTCAGGCGCCCCTAAAGCCACTACTTTCAAGAGCAAGAGATATAGTGGACTTTACTAAAACACAGAAAAAGACACAGAGAGTTAGACAAAATGAGACAGAGGAAAAATCACAGTGAGAGCTAAATGAAATGGAGATAAGTAATACACCTGATAGAGAATTTAAAGTAATGGTCATAAAGATATACTCAACTAGACTTGAGAAGAGTAGAGGAACTCAGTGATACCTTCAAAAAAGAGACAGAAAACATAAAAAAAGAACCAGTGAGAGACGAAGAACTCAATAACTGAAATAAAAAATGAACTAGATGCAATAAATAGCAGAGTAGAGGAAGCAGAAGAACAGATCACGGACCTGCAGGAGAGAGTAACAGAGAGGAATCAAGCTGACTGGAGAGAGAGGGACAAAAAATAATGAAAAATGAAAATAGATTAATGGAACTCAGCAACACCATCAAGCATAATAACATTTACATTATAGAAATCCCAGAGGAGGAGAGAGGGAAAAGGGACTGAAAGTTCATTTGAAGAGATAATAGCTGGAAACTCCCCAAATCTGGAGAAGGAAACAGAAATCTATACCCAGGAGGCACAAAGATTCCCCCAAAAATTAACCCAAAGAAGCCCACACCAAGACACATAGTAATTGAAATGGAAAAACAAAAAACAAACAAACAAAAAAGAGAATTTTAAAAGCGGCAAGAGAAAAGAGTTACATACAAGGGAAATCCTGTAAGACTGTCAGTGGATTCCTCAGCAGAAACTTGTAGGCTAGAAAGGAGTGGCATGATATATTCAAAGTGCTGAAAGAAAAAAACCCTGCAGCCAAAAATACTCTATCCAACATAGCAATCACTCATAATACAAGCAGAGAGAATTTCCCAAATAAAAATTAAAGGAATTCCTCACCCTAAACCAGCCCTATAAGAAATGTTAAAGGGGACTCTGAGTGGAAAGGCAAGTCCATAGGCAAGAGAAAGAAAAGTAGGAAACAAAAAGGCACTAAAATTAAATATACCTATATAAATCAGTCAAGGGCCTCACAGAATAAAAGGATGTAAAGTAGGGCACCATATACATAAAACAGGGCTGGGAAAAGAGTAAAAACATAGTGCTTTTAGAATGGGTTCAAACTTAAGTGACCATCAACTAAACACACACTGATATACAGAAGATGTTATATATAAACATAATGGTAACCACAAATCAAAAACTGATACTAAATATGCAAAAAATAAAGAGAAAGGAATCCAAGTATATCACTAAGAATGCCAGAAAACCATGAGAGAAAAGAGCAAGAGAACAAAGGAACAGAGAAGAACTACAAAAACAGCCATAAAACAAGTAATAAAATGACAATAAGTACATACCTATCGACAATTACTCTGAATGTAAATGGACAAAATGCTCAAATCAAAAGACGTGATGGAATGGATAAAAAAAAGCAAGGCCCATTTATATGTCTGCCTATCAGACCTAGAGGAACATGCAGACTGAAAGTGCAGGGATAGAAAAGCACTTATCATGCAAATGGATGTGAAAAGAAAGCCAGGGTAGCAATACTTATGCTGGACAAAATGAGCTTTAACAGAAGGTTGTAATAACGGAAAAAGGACACTATGTAATCATAAAGGGAACAATTCAAAAAGAAGGTATAATAATTAAATATTTACACACCCAACATGGCAGCCTCCAAATACATAAAGCAGCTAATAACAAACATAAAGGAAATAATCAATAGTGATACAATAATAGTAGGGTACTTTAACACCTCACATCAATGGGTAGATCATCCACACAGAAATTCAACAAGGAAATAGTGGCTTTGAATGACACACTGGACCAGATGGATCTAACCGATGGATCTGGACCAGATCTATTCAGAACATTCCATCCTAAAATAGCAGAATACACTTGATTCAAGTGCACATAGATTACTGTCCAGAACAGATCATAAGGTTAGGCTGCAACGATTTCAGCAAATTCAAAAAGACTGAAGTCATACTATGCATTTTTTCAGACTACATTGCTATAAAACTAGAAATCAAACACAAGAAAAAATCTGTAAAAAACACAAATACATGGAGATTAAATAACATGCTATTAAGC